ATAATCATGCCAGGTAAGATTGTTGTTGTATGGCATCATCGTCATCTATTCGCATTCTCCAGAAATCATTCATCACAGTTGTCATTAACATTAAATATTTATTCTCTCTGTTAAATTGAAGGTTGTGGTGGTGGTAGTGGAAACTGTAAATGCTGTTCTGGATGTGCATCGGGCAAAGGATGTGATTGTCCATCTGGTCAATGCCAATGTTCAGGGTGTACGTGTGGATGTTCGTGTCCTTCCAAATGCAAATAAGATGATATTTAGTCATTTCAAACTGTATTCAGATTCGTTAATTATTATTAATTGCATTAAATGTTGATAAATGAAAATAAAATATTAATATGATAACAATGTGCATTTTGAATGGTGATATTTATTTGGGATTTGATGTTGGAATAGTGAGACTTCCTTGTGACCAGTGTTGTCAGGCTGTGGTGAAATGTGTGCAATACGTTATGATTAGGTTTTTCATGAACAAGCAATTGTTTCGAAATGGTTGACGGATGATTCCTGAGCTGATTTGATTAAGAATAATTTGTTTTCTCGTTGTTCATGAAATATTTCTCTTGATGTGAAGTCACATTAAAGCTTATTATTTGCCATCATTGCTGAAATGTGAAAGACTTCGAATCATTATTAATTTGTTCGTATAACTAGGGATTTTGCTTTATGTGAATTTCACCATCCACTTACATCGTGAGTAGTTTTTTTTGTCTTGCCTGAATATTATCAACTTTCGTACGTAGATTCTCTGAAGATCGACTAATACTATCTTAGTTCCTTATCACACAAACCTGAAACTCACCCGTCAAGTTACAAATCGTTCGATAACTAATTTAAACTATCTCTTGATATAAAAATACTGAAGTATGAAGTAAATTTTGATGCGAACACAATGATGAGCAAAGATTTAATTGAATATCATGAACACAGAGCAATCAGACAATCACTAAATACTTCGGAGAACTGGATAGTTTATGACAGAACGATCCAAAGCAGATAGAATCTAGTTCTTGTAAGAGATGAGAATTTGTATTACCATGTGTGTGTGTGTGTGTGTGTGTAAGATTGATCATCTGAATTCATGTAATTAGCATTATTAACTGATAATTGATGACAAAACCCGAATCACTGAAACCAAACCTTCAACAAACAGACGTCGAAATACAGAACAGCTGCTTTTCAAGATGTATTGTTTTGATTTTAGCAAAACGAAACAACTTCATGCAAAATATTTAACTCAAGAATGAATATTTTCAAATAACAAGTAGTATGTAAATGACTATCACTTAGGTACTTTGAAAGTCAGTTTACAATTTATTAAATTAAAATCTAACTATTAGTGTAGGGTTGTGGAGATAGGACGAAACGACCATCCAGTTCTTCCAGGTCTCCAATGGTAGTCCAACATTCGTCCATTCATGTTTTCAATCTAAAATCTAACTATCAACTTTACATATTGCCCACAATGTTACACAGCCATTTGGATTTTAGAATCTATTCAGTTGTTTGACATGGATTTACATCATTTCACTGTTTTATGATTATTACCGATGAATATTGTGATGTATGTTATTTCGCTTATGTTTAAATTAGAATTGTAATGTTTTACATGAATTGTTCCTGTTATTGTTGTTATTTATGTGACATTTGGCTTTTTTAATTCGTTTCCTTATCAATATTTTCCCATGAGTACAAGTCAGAATAGTTTGGATGTATATTTCAGTGAAAGATTTGTTCAGTCAGTTCATTGTACTAAACATGTTTACACCGATATCAACTACAATTTGTGGTTAGATTATTTAATTATAACAGATAAATTAAAAAGCCAATGTTGTTAGATTTTAGTAGAAAGAGGTTGTTAACAGAATAGCTTATATTATTTGGTGTTACGTTACTATCTATTCTAATGACTAATATCACAATTTGCTCTCTATACGCAGGAAATACAAGACGTCCATGTAGTTAAAATATGATTTTGAATATATCACAAACGATTTAAAATACTTACGGCTTGTAACATTTTTTCGTTTATTTAGAACGAATGCTAAATTAGAATAATAAGAAAATCACTGGCGTTTAGAAACTGTTGACAAATTGATTACATTTTCCGAAGCAACCAAACATACCAACATAATGGAACATTGCTTGCTTCAACGAAAGGATACCGGCAATCATTAAGTCTTGAAAAAAACTTAAAGTGCATATGCAACTGGAATTTTTACAGTTATAAAGTTTTCCAGGTAGTAAGTTGCTACAAACTTCCGTTTCATTTTCTATTTATTATATTTTTGTGAAACTAAAGAATAAAATAACTTGTATAGTTCATTATAGATAATTAAATCTTTAAAACAACTCTAAAGACCTATTTCTATGATCACGTTCCTAATACATATGTAATTACAATCTTTATTTATCAGAAATCTACAAAATTCAATTTGAATGATTTATTTCTGAATCTCACTAGAACTGTTGAAGATCAATCCCGATTAGCATGATTTTTTACCGTCAGAGTTCAAGCATTCTACATCAAATCTAATATTTTGTTTGTTCTCACAACTCACTTGATATCCTGTATACGTTTATTGAACTTTATTTTGTAATGTGCATACTTATTTAAGAAACAGAATGTAAGAAAGACTCAAAAACGTCTTGTTCAATCGAGTAGTAGGAAACTTAGAAAAACTAAAACAAATTAAGAAAATTAAAGAGGAAGAATGTGTTTGTAAAATCTCAGTGAAAGAATTTCAGGCAAATTCAACTTTTCTCCTGGTATGCTTCCTCTTTAATGTCTCACATCAACTCGGCCCTCAAATACCGTGAAACTATTCGATCAGATTTAGACGAGAGTTCCTATTATTTAAGAAAATGTTGTTTTACGAAGTATACTACTTAAGTAACATAAAATGTTATCGAGTCAATTAAATTCGTGTTAACGAATATGTTGCTTAAGTATAAATTTCAGAATAGTAGAATCAGTAAATGGTATTGTGTAAATAGTCGATATAGATGTTATGCGCATGCTATTCACTATCGAAACACATTTTCTTAAGTTTCTTTGTCAGATTATTAATAATGCTTTTTTAAGAAACATGGTTAACATGATGCTTGGATAATAGAAATGTTGAAACTCCTAAATACTTTGTTTCAGTAGTTGAATTTCGGACTTCACGGAAGTAAGAAAGTGGTATCATAATGAAACTTAGAGATTTCATATTATTTTATTACATAAAATTATGCTGAATTCAATATTGAAGTATTCTATTTTTTCACATAAACACATGTTAGCAAGCGTCAGTGTTTCACATCGTTTGTAATTTATTCACAACATTATCTAATGCATGTTTGCCTTGAACCTGACTAATCTAGTCTCTCACTCAACTGTTTGTTTCCATATACTTCTAATATATAATTTTTACCCGAAAAGACTCCTTTGAATTTTTTTTCTTAGATTTTTACTTTATGATTCTTTCAAACAATTTTTATCTTCGTATTCTCTTTAGTTTCAGAAATATTTTCATTATATCACAGTCTATATACAATTTACTGTAACCAATATTTACATATTATTGAAGAATTTCATTCTTCTGCACCTTCATCTCATATATGTAAGTGAAAATCAGTAAACTGTACGACGTCGAATCCATTTATTGCGGAATAATCAATAAAACGTTTTGTTTGTATAGCAATTGTCTGATGGTTATGTAATGTAATCTTGAGGGAACTGATGCTCCCTGGCAGATTCGACCTCGTGTCACCCAGCCTCACAGTCAGAGACGTTACCACTGAGCTATCCGAGCCGCGACCGACCTCCTATAGGACTGAGACGTAATCACAATTGATTGATCACTGGGTGGCGATCAATGTCATGCGCACGCATGACATACATGGAAGTTTAGTTTAGATGGTGGTTGGAGGTAGTCGATAGCATTCGATCTGCATTAAATAAGGACTTGACACACATGATATTGATCACCACTCAATGATCAATCAATTGTGATTATGTAATGTTTCGAATTTATCACTATCATTAAATAATATGGCTTATTTATGAATGATATTATTAGTATTTAGTCTTTGAAATTGTTATTGTTACTACAATAATTTTAGTTTGTTTACTATTTATCTAATTCATTGTATTTCATTGTGTTAATATGTTAAAGTTAACTTGAGCTAATTGATATTTGGTATCAGAGTTTATAATGATTATGACCGACTGATTATTCATTACATTTAATAATGAACGACCATACTATGGAATAATGTATATTTTTAGTTGTTTGTTCGTAAACTATTGATTCTTATTCTAAGAACGAAACAGAAGTACATTTCAAGGGAACAAAAACGACCAAGATCCAACGTGCATATATATATATATATATATATATATATATATATATATATATATATATATATATATATATATATATATATATATATATATATAATCGCATGTTCTATTACGTAATTTGACATTTATGGAATGGAAAAAAAAGAAAGAAAACAAATGCTTACACAAACTATATGAATTAAGATTATGTTTTATATATTTTCAACATCACCATGAAGAAAAAAGAAAGAAAATTTAATGAGAGAGTAAAGATTAATTTTTTCTCTTTTATTGCATCATTAAATGCTTTAAGTCAAAGGGTGTTAGAAATAATTTAATTTATTTGTTTGTTGCTGTTTTTTTTAATCATTCAGTAAAAACAAACAAACAAAAAACAAACAACCAAACAATGAATTTCATAGTAACAAAGGGTAAAAACAAATAATCAATTGTTTATGATCATATTCTTAGTTTTCTATTATATTAATAATATTAAGTAGTATAAGCAGAAATGGACAAAATCATGATCTGTTTTTTAATTTTCTTTACTTACTATTCACAATGTAAATAATAATAATAATAATAATAAGTTTACATTTAATTACAATTTGATCAACATTGATGAAGTTAATATTTTGAGAAAAGTAAATTAATATTTAGTAGTACTCTAATAAATATCATTTGAATGTTTAGAACATTGAAAATGTTTATTAAACCAATCACGTATACGTCTTAATAAACGTATAGGATATAAACTTTGATCATTCGTTTTATCATAAATCATTTCATTATCATTTGATTGATATAATTCACGATTTTCCCATTTAGATAATTTAGCTAATGGTAAACAAAGTAAACCTGATATAAAAACAGATAATCCACCAAGTATAAAGATTAAGTTAAAGTTTTTGTACCGGTCATACATAGCACCTGAAAATGAGATAAAACAAATTGAACAAATTGACGGTTTATTAAAAATGATAAAAAAAGCGTTCAGAAAAAACGTAACATTTTTTAAATGGAATCTATTGATCAACTTTATATACTCGCTTCCATTTTAATATCGGAAGGGGTTTTTTGTGGATATTATTAGTAATTTTAATAGTTAAGATCATGAGTCAATTGAAGATAAACCACCATTGAAAACCTGGAAGCACTGAACGACCATTTCGTCCTGTTGTATGACTCTTCAGCAGTGCGCATTTACTTTCTCGCCTAACGAGATTGGAACCCAGGACCTATCAGTCTCGCGTGCGAGCGCTTAAACACTAAACCACTGGGCCGGCATCCAACGGTATTAATGTCTAGCTTCAAGTTGAGCAACACATCAACCATTGTCTTCAGTGAGTTACTATCTTACAACAGACCCTGTTGAGCTCCACTGTTCACTGCTTCTCAATAGAACTCCAGGAAATACCTCTTTGAGCCAGTCATTGGTGAACATTTTAATAATTTATTTCAAATTCCCATTCACGTTTACATCTTTAACTAGTTATTACATATCTTTAAACGAAAATAACAAGATTTAATCCAATATTTTGTTGAAAATGGTTTTTATAATCAACATTCATTAGAAAAAGAGCTAATGCTACTTCTCATTGATTTACAATCACAGCTTCAGTAGCAATCTAACCCGAGATAACGGAGTCCGAGTAAAAATATAATGTAATTCAAGCACTGGGTTAAATTGTCGTACTCGTTATTTCTAACAACAGCACCAATCAAACTGTTTTTATCCTTATTTAAATGTCTCAGTCGAATTTACTAATCTCAGTGTCCATGGCTTGAAAATGTCATCTTTAAATTGATGATACCTTACAAAATCAATAATGTAAAAAAGGATTGTTTTCCTTGCCAGCTAGTTTCATCCTGACAAACTTCATGTGATATAATTAAAAACATCTGATTTTTAGATGTGATTAATTTGTATTTTGGGCGATTTATCTATAACTATAATCAGAAGATGATTATGTTGTATTGTGGATCGATATGAATTCGAAATAATGACCATTAGATTTTAAGTCAATATTGTAGGGTCCCGATAAACATAATGAATGGTAACTTTGGGATCGTTTTATGGACCACTACTAAAAGTATATTTTTATCGTATAATTGTTAAAAAAATAATCTATTCATATTCCTCTTATTATAAACTTTATTTTCACCTATGAACCATTATTATACGTTTTACCATTCTTGAATTATGCCCTGTCTATTAGTCACTGCCTCCCACATTCACAGCCACATTTGGCCAAATTTTGTACAAATGTTATTTTCTATTTTATGCTACGTTGTGGTCTGTTTGATTGGTATATAAACTCATTATATTTGAATTATAAAGATTCATATTGCAGAGACTGAGACTGGTGTTCTGGACTTAACTGGCTGGGCTAGGCGGAAAGCAGGATCAATCAAGACTCTAGGCTGCTCGCACGTGTTTTACGCGTCATCGATCCGATCGATAATTCGCTGCTTCTGATTGGCGGCTTTGTGCTATAACAAATATCTAGATCGTAACCTGCTAGCATTGAAACATTAGGATAATAGGTTAGATAGCATTTGAAGTCGTGAGTTTAAATTCTGTAGTGTCTAAATTGGAGATGAAGGAGTATTAATGTATATTCACAGATGTATGCATTAGTTGTTGATAAGAGAATAAAACTTTAATGTTTACTGTGTATACTTTGTAAAATAGAAATTTACATTTCATGGTACACTTCAAGTAACATTCTTAATGATATATACATATACTAAAACAGGATATATCTTATAACTTGCATAAATTCCATAAAGTTTATTGAATTGTATTCGCATATATTTTCTATATTTTCTGGTGTATTTATATAATTAACGCCCTAAATTATTACATCTAAAAATAGATCCCGTTTAAATGTTTAAACCTTGAAAGATAGACATCAGTAGTAAATTCATCTCATTCACTGTTTCACCTTCTAAGCTTGGATTACTATATTGATTTTGTCAAACATTAGAGATTACATATATTCAGTTTCATAGTAACTTGTATTCATTATTTAGAAATTCATTTTATTTAGATAGCACATTACATAAAAGCAATACAGAAATTACCGAATGCTGGTGGTGCTCCAATATATGCGAAAGCTTGAAATAGTAACATATAACCAAAAGCATTGGTTAATCGATCTAAACCCAAAACTTGAACAATTAAAATTGTTCGAACAGATATGAATGCAGCTGTTAAGAAAAAAAAGAAGAAAATAATAAGAAATTAGCCAATTCATAGAGATGAATGAAAACGAGACGAAGGTTATGGTTTAAACGTGAAAGATAATTTACTTAGCTATATATGTATCTCACAAGTAGATTCTATGTGGTTCACAAGACCCAGTAAACATATAATTGAAAAATAATCGGATATGACATATTTTGAAGTTATTATTTTTTTAAAAGACATAATATTCTATGTTCATTATTCAAAAAAATACTTCCATAAACACATAATACAATGATTCGCCTTAGTTCTGTTTGACTAGATCACATTTTATTCTTTCTGAAACTATGGTCTTGATGCATTTAGGCATAGTATTCAATGATTTTTTAAAGATTTTAAAACATTTGAACCACAAATCGATTCGTTAACTACTCAATTTTTTTTCTACATTATAGTGAATAATCATGATCTATAGATGGAGACAAAAGCTGACGGCAGCGTAGACGAATGTTTCGTATATTTGTCAATAATTGACTTTCATCTATGATAGAGGATTTGTTTGCATTTGATTAATTACTAGGTAGTGAGCAATGTTTATTTAGTCTTTTGGTGCAGATCAAACGCTGCCTTACAAGTGATGACAACATATTAGGTGGTTGGAGATTGTAGATCAGAAATCTTGAACTTATATATCTCTATAGTTTATATTCACCATCTAGACGTATCTGCAATCTTGAGTAGACTGATACTTCCTGCGAGATTCGAATTGAATCACCCGGTGGTCTGAAGAGTTAAGTAGTAACGTTTTATTCAGTGAAGCATGTATAGTATATATATATATATATATATATATATATATATAACATGCGAATAATAAATCAGACCTTTCATATGTGAATAGACTTCATCTGAAAGATATTTTTCGATTTCATTGCAGGATCACTATTTCAACTGTTTATTCACACTTGATAAGCTAATGCATAAACTAAGGAGAAATTATGCAAAATGTAAGACACATTTGTGAAACACTAATGAGTTTGTTTTGAACAATAGTTGTTTCAAATCAATATAATTTTAAAGAAATGAAATTTAAAGATCCCCCTGTATATATATATTGTTTCGGGAAAAGTGGTAATATATTTTCTGTAATTTCACATTGAGTAATACACCGCTAGTCGACGTACAAATCGAAGTAACTTTTTGGTATGAATAGTGCATTTATGAGATCAGAACTAGCCATCAATAATTTTATATATTAGTTCTTATTCATGGGACAAGACAAAACTGGCTTCTTTCTGCTATTAATATGTAATTTAAGAAGTTGATCTATTTACTGAAGCAGATAATAATCAAAATTAAGCTACCTTAAAAGCTGTTCCAGTGTTAAACGAACAATCAAATATTATACCTACATTAATTTCACCCAAACGGAAAAGAACCAGTTCAGAAAAATTCTAGATAGGCATTTTTTTCCTTATTTGCCTAAGGGTCTCTCAATAAACAAATATCTTCTGAACACAGCTTTAGATGTAGAACATTTATTCATGGTGCTCTGAAGCACCTCTTATTATTAATTCCAATTTATATCAAGTAATATGTCTGCCACTTTATCGCTTAATACTGACTTCCTATTCTCTTCCTATTTTGCCTAAATACTTCACTTAAGACTCGAACAATAAAGAGAAGCCATTAAGTAGGGATAAAAGCTTACCTTTAAGGTTATGTGCAGAAAACAAGGTTATTCAGGTTTACGAGTTACCTTGATTTTCTAAAAGCTTCTGAATACAAATAAAATAAGTAACTATTCAATCGAAAAGTAACACATAATCTTTCGTTTGTAGGTATTAATGCCAAGGTTAGACTTGATAGTTTCAAGTAAATTGAGCATTAGGTAAAAATTTACTCATTAGAATATTTTTTGTTATATCTCAGTGAGTGGAAAATTATATTTCCAACGTTTTTTATTTACTCTGAAGAAGTGGTTTACATGAAGTCATGATAAGTCAGTAATACAATTTTTTACCCATTGAGATATAACGAAAATAATATAGATTATATAATCTTCCATTTTTCAACATGTTTCTAGGATTTGTCTGCTCGATACTGATTTGGCTAGATGTTCATTGTTCTTTACCGGATTCTGGAGGCTTTGTGGAGGATTTCTTGGGGGGTTAAATAAATTATCAGTTAATAAAGATTATTCAAATCAACTTCACCGTATAGAAACATAGTCACTAAAGCTCTTACTACGTTGTCACAATTCACTTTGAGGTTTATTATATTTATATTACAATCCAACCGAAGTTATACAACCGTTGGAAACCTTGGAGCACTGGACGGCCTTTTTGTTCTTGTATGGGACTGAGCAGTGCGCACCCACAAACTTGCTACTGGAATTCGAACCCATGACTTTGATTAAGTGTAAATCAACACTATGATATTGTAGTGTCTAGTACCATATCAGGCCCACATAAGTTATTCTAGTTTCTGGACATACCAATTCATTCATTCGTATTGAGTCACATTTTGGCCATGTCAGTTATTCGCTTAATAACTTTGATTGTTTTCATATGTTTGTGGATTGCTTATCTTATCCGTCACATGTCTGTAGCCTATCTTTGTCTGACTATAAATATTGAGTTACGCCTGAGAACTCGCCTTCTCCACCATGCTTTCCGGCTTCCTATTCTGAATATTTGCCTAGATAAACAAATGTTTGGAATATGTTCCTCCAACTCAACCCGTATTTGGCTTTTTATTACCGTTGTAACACAAACGGAGTTAAATAGAAGACTTATGTTCATAGCACCCTCGTACGATTAAACCGGAGTCAGATACTGGGCTACAAAAGTTATGAACCCGATGTGCTCAAATAATAAATTCCTGAGAAATATTAATATAGAAGAATCATATTCCCTAAACAATATCACGTTAACTGATTAAAATACCCCTGTAAATTAAATGTTTGTTTATAGATAAATAATGTTTAAAGCACAGTGCACTTACATATTGAGAGTCCATATATACATGAATAGCCAATCAATCCTCCGTAAACTGTAATTAACGGGACCAAAGATGTAAGTAATCCAGATACAACCAATGAAATGTTATTAATGTAAAGTACATTAGCCCATGATTGATCAGATAACCAACCTATAAATCGATAATTTGTAAAGAATTTTCATTAAATTTAACGATTATAATAATTACATGTTTGCAAATTTATTAAAATCAATATATTTTCACTTCTCATTTACAAATAAACATACGTATATGTATCTTTGAAAGTTACATAACTCACTGAAGACAATGGTGGATGTGTTGCTCAACTTGAAGCTAGACATTAATACCGCTGGATGCCGGCCTAGTGGTCTAGTGGTTAAGCACTTGCTCACGAGACCGATAGGTCGTGGGTTCGAATCCCACGAGGCAGGGCCGTAAATGCGCACTGGTGAGGAGTCATTCAATAGAACGAAGTGGCCGTCCAGTGCTTTCAGGTTTTCCATGGTGATTTAGTTTCAACTGACTCATGATCTCAACTATTTAAATTCATTTACTTAAAAATATATGAAATTGAAAAAGGAATTCATTTTTTACTAACAGTTTATTTGTTTATTTTCATATCAAACAAATGAATTAAGTAAAGACGGATAGTGACTAGCATTGGAATCCAAGGCGTGTGTTTCGTCCTATTCAAGACTCGTCAGTTGGATGTACGTGCATGCTGTACGTGTGTGTGTTGGATTCTGCTGCTAGTCATTTTTTTCATCTTTGCTTATAAAATTTGTGACTTAAGGCAATACCGTGTCAGTTTACAAAGGATTCACATATACTAACAAGAGACTAATTAGTTGTATACCTTAATAATAATGAAACTATACGAGTAAACAATACCAAGTGAATAAAAAGGAATTACAGTTGAAAAAAAAAGTTTAAAGTGGATAATAGTGACTTTCATTTTAACTAATTGTATAACTAAGACAATAATAATTCAGACGAAAAATTGTTGCTCTATTTTTAAATCATTCATTTTCTTTTAAAAATGTTATGATTATTTTGTAACTATTATTTGCTTTTACAGTTTTTTTTTTTGCATGGTATACAGTTTCTAAGATCTTTTCATGAATTATGATCAAAACGTATACATAAATGAGAAGACAATCTGTTTGTACTTTCAATATATTGTCATAGTGATCAAAAATGTACATTTATTTACCTTTAACGTTATTCAAGTTTTATTTCATTGTTTAAACTGAATACGTCACACAACTGAAGTGATGATGGATTTTTTTAAAAATTTGATATTTAAAAGTAAAATTAATGTCCACTATATTTAAATGTCATGAATCTTGTTTGCGTAAATGATAATTAGAAATATTTTCTTTAAATTGGTTCGTTCATAAGTATGATTTTTGAGGTAATAATTGTTTTTAGATCTTTTAGATCTAAACTGGATACTTTTCTACCTGACTAGAAGTATACTGATTGTATAAACCTATTCGAATGTGACATTGGTAAGCTTTAGAATTTTATGAAGATATAGAATATCAGAACAAGAATATCTATAGTAAATATGTTTCGGTTTGGGCACCTGGGCAGTATCCCAGCCCTCACACAAATCGAATGATTTATGTGGCGCATATGTACTTGGTGCCTCGTTGTACCAATGTTTATGTGTTTAAATAAATAAATAAATATTTGATTGCATCTTCTTTTGTTAATTTCACCATTGTAGGTGAATACATTAAGTTAATAAAGTTTTACTTTATTCTCATTTAACTATTGATCAATCTATCTATCCCTTATCTTAGACATGCCATTAAAAAAAGTCTATTTACATATGTCCATATCCACATTCCACTTATTGATTGATATAGTTTTTTTCTCTCGAGTGATATAACTGACTGTATAAATGAGATTTTATCCTATATCGATTATCTTTGGAAAAACAATTCCATTTTTTTTAAAAACTAGTAAACCTCCAATATGCAGAGAAATAAAATAAAGGATTTATCATTTTAATCCTTAACTACGTATTTAAATCTAACAACTTTAAGTGAATATAAATGCTATGGAATGATTTATTAAATAAAAACCTACAATCTACTTAAAATAACTTTTATCTTGAAGTATTCTTTCATTAGCAAATGCAAATTATGTATTAAGTTGAAAGTGTACTACCTCAAAATGTTCATTTGTTAAATACAAACAATAACTATACAGACAATATGTAACTGAATTGTACATCAGTCAGTCAGTCAGTCAGTCAACTACTACGTAGGACCAGGCACATATATGCATCGGTTCAAGTTGCCACACTTCATTAACAAAAGATGAACACTGGATTCATAGAAGTAGTTAATTCAATGATGGTAATATAAAAAAGAAAAATTGCAATAAGAATATAGTACAGGAAGAAAGATTTAGTACGTAGATAGAAAGATATGAAGTGATTTTAATCTCTTAGTTTAAGGAAAGACAGAGAGTGTATACACCTACGCTATTGTGATCGATTCTGAGCCATATACATACTAGCAGGATATTAATGTGAACAATTGTTATCGATGTTAATAAATATAACAAAGAATTTATCACAATAAATCAAGTTTTAGCAATTGAATTCAACAGTCATTTTATTAGTACTCTGTAACTCCTGACTAATACTATGAAACTTGATAGTTAATTATATTTATACCTTTAACTTGTTGTTGATAAACTTATGAATATACCACACAAAGATGTAACATATAACCGGTAAAATAGAAAAGATTTTATAACAGGCAAAACAGAAACTTAATCATGGTTAGAAACTTAATTATAATACAAAAATTGAGTGGGTCAGCTGAAGTCTAATCACAATTATGTAATTTCAAAATAATATTCATTTCCAATCACATGCTAATCACTAAGTGCATATACTTGTTAATCTCTATAAAAAAAGAACCTAGAATAATATGTTCGTATTTAATAAATAATTAAATTATTTCCAAGTGTTGGTCCTAAATTCTAAAAAACTTGAACAAATCACATTAGTTGACGCTGAATAAACAAAAAAACAAATTTAATTCTAGAAACTTAATAAACGACCACTGATTTCCCAGTTTTATGATATTTAAAAAGTACACTAAGTATTCTTCACTATGAAGAAGCATTCAACAACGTGGATAGGAGAACCTTGTGGGACATTCTTCGACACTATGGTGTACCTAGGATCGTCATCATCATGCAGAATTCATATGACAGACGACACTGCAAAGTCGTGCACGAATGACAATTCAGAGATGCAATCCAAGTGAATATTGGTGTCACACAACGCTGCTTGCTCTCGCTTTTTCTCTTTCTTCTGATGTTTCGCTGAATTATGAAGACCTCCACATTTGAGGCGAAGCACGGAATAAAATGCACAGCCTGCATGCGACTATACGATTCGGATTTCGCAGGTGACCTGGACCTTCTATCCAATACACATCAATAGATGCAGGTCAAGACAACCAGTGTAGTAGAAGCCTTGCATCAGTGGGCCTCAACATACAAAAAATCGCAGGCAAAGGAAACTTTGAAGTTTATTCAGTTATTTTTTACTTTATTGATCAACATACATTGGTTTAACTAAAACTAATAAAACAACTTGTCTATTTTGAAGCCTATTGGTTGGGTAAACTTGGAAGAAAAATCAATATTTCTGTTGTTAACCAAATTGGATATGTGCTGAAAGTCCCTTTATTAAATGAGATGGTAAATATTTAACTAGTTTCAAGGTTCAAACAAGGAACAAATCAACTCTAAATAAGTATCTGCTTATTTAAATAGCAAACAAGCAAAATGTAACCACATATGTAAATTGCTGCAAGTCACACAATCTCTAATTTTCTTTTATAGAAAGAAATAACATTGAAAAAAGGTAAATAAAGTAGGAAACGCAATTATTAAAACAAAACAACTGCCAATATAGTTGTTTTACTTCAAACAGTTGTTTTATTGTAGAGTGTACTATCGTCAAACAATAATTCTCAGTAGTATAAATCATAGAATCCATTACCTGGTTGCCGTTTATTTCCCTGAATAGCTTTATATGCTTTTTCTACTATCCAAGCAACCATTATATTGAATAATAAAATGGTATAAAAAAACATCCTAAAAAATACAAATCTAAGTAGACCGATAACAGTACCAATACATTGTTAACATAAACACGTCCACATAATCTAATCCACTAGTAATCATCATATTTTTCTTATATATGATATAAGACAGTGTATATCAAAGATTCAATTGAGTTTTATTATAGAATGTAATGGTTTTAATAATCTGAAATAGTAGATTGCATTGTTATTAATGATAGAAGGAATAACCCAGTGATAAAACAAAGTGGAGAAACAAAAGATTTGTTTACATAAATCAAATAAACAATAGACTTTTCTTTCTCTTACATACCTGTCAATATTCTTCCAACTGTATTTGAACCACCAAGATAAGCTAATAAATACGATGCAGATGATTCACTTGCACCAAGTTGTTGAGCGTTATCTTTTAGAAATTGATATGGAACACAATAGCCTAAGGAAAAAAATGAGACGAAGTTAACAAAAAGGTGAAGAAGGAGAAGAAGAAAGAAACGGAGTCTCAAAAATGAAATATTAACAATTAAGCACACTTCATACTACTTGATCATCAAAAATGATCTTTCCCATTTGTGTGAGTTTAATGATTTTTGAAACTAAGTTAATGTTTTAGATATTTGAGATTATGAGTAACTACTGTGATAATCGCACTCCAACGTAAAATGTATAGACTGACAATTATTAAATATCTGAATAGGATTTTGGAGATTGTTGAGTCTCACTGAAATTATGAACCGATCAATGTTAGTCCACCATTGTAAACCTGGAAGCACTGAGCGGCCGTTTCTTCATAGTATGGGACTCCTCAGCACTGTGCATCTACGATTCTGCACGCGGGATTCGAACCCGGGACCTTCAGTCTCGCGCGCGAACGCTTAACATTTAATCCACTGAACCTTAATAATTAGCAAATTATGGTGTTTGTTATTATCATCAAAGTTAAATAACCAAAATATCGATTAATTTATTGATTTAAACAGTACTGTATGCACGTATGAATAGTTGAACAAGCATATGAACCAATATGGTATGATTATTCAATTTCAACAGCACAGTTCTCTGTAGATCATTTGTGTTTGATTAAATTTATTTTAGGTTTGTCTAAATGTAGATGTTGACATTTGAAAAAAACGACAAAGGCCAAAAAAACTAATAAAAATTTTACTGTTGAACTATTTAGGATAAACAGTTAAAATGCACGAATATCGTTACTGGTTTGAAGAGGATAAGTGCATTCACCATTCCTTTGAGATTGTATGTAAGCAACAATTAGTGTTCACTGAGATAGGGAAGATATTATTGTTTAGGAAATAGAATATCAATAGACTATAATACAAAAAGTCAAGACGTAGTTTAGTATTAGTTCATTCAACTCGATACAATAATCCTACATCATAAATCATCTTTAATAACATTAGACATGTACGATTTATGTGTATTATATCAGATGTCTTATAAATTAGAGATGTCATTATAAAATAAATAGACAGGCACATTAGGGTCACAAGTTTATTTCTAGATTATATAAGTAATGAGTAAAGGATTTATATTGTTATCGTAAATTAAAAACAATCAGCGTAATCTGTCGCTTTAAAGTTAATAGGCACACGTATGACAGACCAAACATCCGAATAACTAATTTAGACTCCATCAATTGCAAGATGGTGGTTGGAGGTAGTCAACAAGAAACCTTGGACCTGGGTTTCGCGCTACTTGTCATTCGTCAGAAAAGTGTACCTGTAATCTTGAGGGAACTGATGCTCCCTGACGGATTTCATCCCGTGCCACTCAGCTTCACCACTCAATGATCGATCAACTGTAAATACATCTCAGTCCTACAGGAGGTCAGCCGCTACCTGGATGGCTCAGTGGTAACGTCTTTGACTGTGAAGCTGGGTGACACGGGATCGTATGCGTTAGGGAGCACCAGTTCCCTCAAGTTGACAGGTACATCTTGCTGACGAATGCGATGTAGCACGAAACCCAGGTCCAAGGTTTCTTGTTGACTACCTCCAACCACCATCTTATTTCGACATAGTGCACGCAATATCGAGTCACCTAGACTAGTGGCCACATTGCAACTTGGTCGATAGCATTCGATTTGCACTAAGAAGGACTTGACACACATGACATTGATCATCACCCAGTGATGAATCAATTGTGATTCCATCAATTATACTGGACACATCAAATAAAACACATTTCCATTATAATCATATCTGTTATTTTAATTATAAAGGAATGAATGTTTAAAAATATGTATTATGTATGGAATTGTATTAATTGATTATAATTTACAATCTATTTGTTTCCACCTTTCATGTGTAGAGATTAATATTTTGTATCTTACTGAATGTAAATAAATAACGGTTCACTGTTATATTTTTATTAGGAAAATAATAGTAAACGTTTTTTTTTGTTTGTATTTAACTCATAGTTTTAATCACATTTTCAGATGGGATATGAAATGTATTGGTCATATTTTGTCTAAATTATTGGTTATCATTTCATGTAGCCAAATTTTCTAAATAATAATGATGTTACTTTACTAGATTAATAGGGAAATTCAACTTGTCAAGAGAGAGACAAGTATCACCGATTATAATAAATGATGATCATGTATTATAGTAAGTATTATGAAAAGTTAAGTCAACGGTATGTAGGCTAAGCGTCTATTAACGTACGTTATGAATTCTCACCGTTAAAATGTCTCATAACAGTAGAAATTAGTTGTAAATGCATCAGGTAGTGATGTAAATTACGGGAATTACAAAATACTGAACTCATATAACTAGTTCAGGAATATTCTTGATTTTATCAAAACATATTTAACTTGCACAATAAAGATATAAATTCTCCTGCCTTATCAATAGCCTACATTCACATGATAGTAAAATAACTTGATTTAAGATAGTATCCTATCAAAACGAATGCATTTATGCTTGTATCTTTATTCACGATCTATATGTCTGTAAAATCCAATTAAGCAGAACTACCACTACAAGGTGAATAAATTTAGCACTTTTATATTTAATACTCGAAATGCTTTAAAACATTCAATCAATCTGTGTTGGATTCGTTAAGAGGATCTTTTTTTTTTCAAAAAAAATTGTTTCCATTGTGTAACTTTTAAACTCACCAATCATACTGAGTACACTAGAAATTGAAAGTAGTATAAATGTTGGACTTTTCAATAATTCTATATCCAAAACATTTTTAATCATAGACCATATTGGTCGACGTATATGCATTTCTTCAGCGGGCATTGTAACTGATCGAATATATGAAGCGACATCAGTCGTAGATAGGAACTGAAAAAGAAAAGTTTTAAAAATGAGTAAAACATATTACTATACTGTTTCGATTTGAAGATAATAAGATTTTAAATACTTAGTAGATTCCAAATGATCATAGGGAAACATTGGTTTGAATAGATTTTTTTCAAATATTGTCATAAACTACTTAGGTATGTTTTAATTTTCTGGTAGTTTTTTTTTGCTTTAGTTCACATATAAAAATTTAGTATGTATGTATCTACTTTTTAATCCAATAAGTAGTTTAGTAATCTTTTTTTAAATTTTATACTAACATAATCCAAAAATTATTTACAAATTGATTTCATCAAACAGTTGTTGAATGCTTAGTTTAATACTGTCCCGTATCATTTACTCAAATGCCTACATAGGGTTAAAATCTAAAACGTCAGTTCTTATGGTATGTAGACCTTAAACTGTTAACTTATAATGTAGTGAATCACTTTCTTTAATTTCAATGTAAATCAGTTATAACTTGATGTTATCAATGAGTGTCAATCACTTTGTCGGTATGATTGACTCAACAGCTAATGGTTTTGAATTCTACGTAATTTTCAGATAGCTAACTGACTGAATAGACTCTAATATGATAGGAATAAATAATTCATTTAGGATCATTTCTTCATTTGTTTTTATAGAGGGATAAGCTATAGAAACACTATTCCTTTTAAATCAATAAATAAAGGTGATTTACAATTTAACTTGACTATAATGATCATCAGTAGTAGGTAAAATGTTATTTTATAGTGTTACTTCCAATAATAATCTATTTACCACATTTCATGAATAAAATCAAAACATTTTTATTATTCCTTTGATAAACAATGTATGTTGGTAGATAAGCTATTTGACATAGCCAGCTAGTAAGGATTGACGTATTGTCAACCGAATGAAGTTAACCATTTATTGGAATAATTCGCTATTGGTAGTCAATAGATCATGCAGTGAGCGTAACGTAAACAAAGGTGTCGATAAATATTACGGATAACTACGATGAGTCAAATTCGATTTAATTATTTTTTCTGTTGTAACAAGCTATTTTCATTTGATTGTTCTAGCGTACATTTGCATAAAACTTGATACTGTTAATGAATAAGGAGTGAGACTTTATTGCTCAATCTCCATAATGTGAATTGTCTTAGCGGTAGTGGGGAAACAGTAACACAATTCATTATAATTAACTTACTTCATTAAGATGTATCAGGCTTCCACTAAGGAATAAATCTTTCTTATAAGCTGGTCTTGACATTTCTCTTTGTAATTCATTTACGATAGCTTGACAAATTGATGGATCATTCAATTGATTTAATTCTGATGAGGGCATTTTTAATGAAACAACTGAAGCAAAAAAAGCATTACTTCCAAAGTTGTCTGACTAAAAAAAACGAAATTAGTAAAGAGAAAATGAACGGATTGGTGGGAAATTGTGCTAAAACATAACTGAAAATCTGACAGCTATTTGATTACTGTATGAGTCACCATCAAATAAACAACCTACAGACCAGTGAGTGTGATGTTTATCTAGTTGTACAAATAAATAATGAAGTTATTAATACTTATATTTGTGTCAGTCAGTCAGCTACAATGTAGGGCCAGGCATATATATTCATCGGTCCAAGTTGCCATGCCTCATTAACACAGCAAGGTGAACACTATATCCACAGAAGCAGTTACTTCAATGATAGCCATATAAAAGAAAGATTGAGTATAATGATATAATACAGGAAGGAAGAATTAGTTCATAGAAAGAAAGGTATGAAGTAATTCAAACCTCACGGTTTAAGGGAAGACAAACAGTGTATACACCTACATCGTTGTGATGGATTTTGAGCCATGTCACCCACGGATATCCGTCTCTGGCGGTAAAGTCTCAAAAAGTACGGAGCTAACGCAAAAATTACTGACACAAATTTCGTGTGTGACCGACCTCAAGCAGTTGTCCCTTGGGCACTGCGGTCACGCTCTCAGGTCACTAAGACCACCTCTAATCCAATTTCCTTTTCAGGTACCTCCAGAACAACCCTTCCACAGTGTGCGCAACTGGGAAGTGATAACCGCCCTCATACCTCTAACAGCACTCAAGACCAATGTATTCATAATCTTCTCATATTTGTGTAGAAATATTTCCTTTTGGAGTTCTGTCCTGGATAATATAAGGAACCTTTCAAAAAACGTTTGAACAAAATTTTTTTCAGCTGATACACTATTTATCAATGTGACTATCACTCATTTCTTCTTAGTTGGATAACTAGAGTGTTTATTCATTTATTTTACATGATCTATCGTTGAAATTAGGTTTCTATGATAAATTTGATTTGTGAGTTTAAATATGACTAAATAATACATTTTGAATAAATGTATTCAGATAAAACAAAATATGGAATATTTTGGCTCAAGTTCAACTATGATAAAAATTTTCATCTAACTTGAATTGGATTTTCTATTGACAAGATATGACCAACTCTTAGGATATGTGGCTTAACTCTTTCCCTTTAATTAAATACTTTTGTTTTTTTGTTCGTCGATCTCACGTAATACTATACATACTCTTTCCTTTCAATATTCTCCAAAAAAAAGAAAATAACTATCATGAATTGAATACTGATATAATGGGACAAATAGTGTGAAAGTATAACTTTTAGGGCAATTGTATGAAGCATTATTATTTATATGTTTATTGTACAACTAGGAGAGATAATTTCTAAACTTTTATTTGACCCACACTATTTGTGTTGTTCCAAATTTATCAATAATTAATTCTTTTATTGTTATTACATTTTCGCATCCTTTATGACTAGGGTATATACATATTGTAATTTAATAATTTAATTACTATGTACAATCAAGAAAGTACAAGTATTTATAAATAGCTGTCTACGCAAGATACTCAACATCCATTGGCCGGATACCATCAGCAACAGCCTTCTGTGGGAGAGAACAAACCAACTTCCAGTTGAAGAAGAAATTAGGAAAAGACGATGGAAATGGATAGGACATACATTACGCAAATCGTCAAACTGCATCACGAGGCAAGCCCTAACTTGGAATCCTGAAGGGAAGCGAAAAAGAGGAAGGCCAAAGGACACATTGCGTCGGATAATAGAAGCAGATATGAAAAGGATGAATTACAACTGCACGGAGCTAGAAAGGATTGCCCAGGACAGGGTTGGATGGAGAATGCTGGTGAGCGGCCTATGTTCCTTCACGAGGAGTAACAGGCGTAAGTAAGTAAGTAAGTATGTAGTTAGGCATTTTAGATATATTATGGTATAAGCTTTGAATCATCATAAAATAGGAATAGAGAGAATTAAGAAATTATAAGTAGGATTTCAATCATCAAATCTATCAAGTGATATTGATTAATGTCTCAGATATAACAAATTCCATTACAGAATAAATGAAAAGTATGAGACATTGAACAACTGTGTCTCTTTTGATAAAATTTGATAAAACTTATAAATAGTCTAATAAAATCCCATTTTTTGGAAACATATTTTTCAAGTACATTATTGAATAAGAATGACAAAAAGTAAATGTTAATTTTGGAATAAATGTATTAATGAATAACTCATTTTCAGACAGAAAACTTTGAATCCCTTAGATATATCTTGCTCAAACGTAACGGAGTATAGGGTTTGAAGTTTACTTCATTATTATATTTAGAATAGTAAAAACTATCTTAGAAGTCAAATTATATTAACTGACAACAAATGTCGCCTATAACACCTTCTTGCTATTGTTTTCTTAGTTGTCTTCTATTTTATATACCTAACAAAAATAAAACTGATTAAATAATGACAGTAGTTAAGAAATACCTATATAGGCCAGTTTCAATCATCCAATAAGACTTATAACAGTTATCAGAAAATGTATTTGAAAGTAATTGATTAAGCATGATAAATGTTATTAATTTAGTCAATGCATTGGAGTATATATTTAATCAAACAGTAAAGAAAACGGAGACAGTCAACTATACATCTAAGTAAGATACTGTATCTTAAAATAATTCAATCTATTTGATTAATTCCATTGTCTTGTGCATAACTCCGCCTGGAGCCCTCCTGGGACTACTGCTGGTCCGAGGCCCGGATAAAGGAGGGGGGTTGAGCATGGGGTTAGTGACCCCATCCCGTAGAAAACTAATTTGCTAAAAAGACGCTAACCAGAAAAAAACTGTGTTTTATATAGTGATTTATCTATTTTAAATGTTTGAAGGTTATTTACAACGACAAATTACATTATTGCCTTAAATGTATCACATAAATTAACATGCAATAATCATTAATTTGCTTTATCATTCAAGTGGTTTGTCTTGTTTCCATTTCAATTAATTCCGTTAGATGAGAACATCTAATTATTATGTCTAATTTCTAAACTTGCTTATTAATGAATACTGATGTAGTTTCGCTTACCTTCCTTCATGCAAACTATAAACTACACTTGTGTTAATTGTGTATGTATTTATCAAGTAGTCAATAGACAGATTGAAAATGATTTTATTTTAAATTTACTTTTATAAATTAGTGTAAACACCCCTAATGGGACATACAAAAACAAGGATGAAGAGAAAGTGGTCTAGTAACGATTGTCGTGGTCGATTATTTTACTTTTCATGTAAGTATATAGTCATAGATGTATAGGATTTATTTGAAAATGAAAAACTATTTTACATTATATAGACCAATCACAGCAAGCTTTTATAGATTAAAGTAACAAGGCAGATGGAAAAATTCGAAGATATTCTTTTACTTGTTACACGATTGAAAATGGAATTACTACAGAACTAGGAGGTTTATTTAAGTATGTCATAGTAACTAGACAAAGGTTAGTAATTATGAAATTATTAGTTTACATAATATAAAAATATAAATCTTAAAAAGTGAAAACAGTTGAATTGATTTTAGTGAAGTCGTTGTCGATGGTGAGGAGCTGACTTTTAAAATCTTGAAATTATGAATATGATAGAAGAAGAGATGGAAAAACCTAATGTTGTACACATGGTTATGTAAAAATAAATCAGTACCACTATCAAAGGTATTATAAATTACCATTTTAAAAATGGCTATGCATATTCGCAGTTTATTCAGAGAATTCCTAACTCTTAAATTAGCAGACATTGGAAGAAATTCTGGTGAGGCTATAATTTATGGACGACCTTTGAGCGACGTCAGACTGACTTTGAGATCGTCTGCCTAATAACCAGAACCAAATGAGGGTCATAAGCAAGTGTGAGGAAATAGAACTATGATTTGCAGTTGATGGTTAGGGTTAAGAATTAGGTTTAGCGTTTTCATCAGGAACTGACATCAGCTATAATGCCCAAACTGCATTTACCCAAATGGATGAATGAATTTCGCGCCAAAATCCGAAACCTATTATCTTATACCTGATTGGTTCGTCCATAAATTATAGTCTCGCCGAAGTTCTCTCTTTCTTTGTGTCTAATGTAATACACAGGAAAGTGAATCTTTATGACACAAACCTAATAAGATGAGTTTATCATATTCGGACTCAGACTAAGGGAATGGTAACTTATTGGACTAATTTATTATTCAGTCTTTCATACTCTCAGCCACTTTTTGGCTTGATCGCATATAACTGTCATTTCTTATTTTATGCTGTGATGAGATCTGGTCTGCCTGTAAATAGATTATGTGTTTAAAACATGAAAACTATCTTGGACTGATGATCATTGGTCTAGAGTTCTTCCTCGTCGTTCGGAGCTAGTTAGTATTTGACCAACCGTCAAGTATAGAGTATCAGTCTTCTCGTCCTTGTTGCGCATTTGTTTTTGAACATCTTCTATGAGTTTTGGTAGGTGTTAGGAGTCCTGATGTGGAAAATCCCTCAATTAGATGGACATGGTAATCAGGATTATTCTGAAATCTTTTCAGAATTAACTATAATTAAACTTTACCTGTTATATTTCTAGTTTGATAACGAGGACTGTCATATTTGATCTTTTATCTTGTTAAATTTAATTATATACTTTACAAGTAGCAATAAGTTTCATACTAAATTATAGGAAATATAGTAGAGCGTTTGTTCAATGCAACTATAATATGGATTACCCTTTTGTGTGCTACAGCAGGATCATTGGGTTCTGCTTGTATGTAACTTGAATGAATGGATCTTGGTGACTGAATTACGGATAACTTAGGTTTGGCGGTGAATTCTGGAGGTGCTAAACTTGTACAAGATGTGATTGTTTGACGATTGAGAACATCTCCTACAATACGATTCACTGCTTCAAGACTCATTACAGGCACACCTTCAGAAGGATTATTCTGGATATTTCCGGGAACAATTTGATTTCCATAGGTAATCACCGCACCTATATGTAAAAGAATTAAAAAGTAAGGTAAATACTTTAGCATAAAGATATATATTTTTTCTAATTTACAGTGATTCTTGCGAAACCTATATAGGTGCCAGTACAAAACTCCAAAAGATTCCGTCAGATTATTCTCATTCAATCTCGTTTAAGAACACGTTATCAAATGAAGAATACTTCTCTTGCCGCATAATATTGTCTTTCTTTTTTACAATGGAATGAATATTATCAGTATAGGGTTATGGAGATTATTAAGCTTTTGATTGAGATCATACACCGACTGATGTTAGACCACCATTGAAAACCTGGAGGCACTGAACGGCGGTTTTGTCCTATTGTGGGACTCCTCAGCAGTGTGCATCCTCGATCCCTTCCGAGGGATTCGAACTCAGGGCCTTCAGTCCCGCGCACAAATGCTTAATCTCTAGACCACTAAGCCGGCATCCAACGGTGTTTATGTCTAACCTTAACTAATCCACGAAATTGTGCGACCATTTCCCATAGTACTGAATACTCAATACTCAATCAAGAAACGAATACTGTTTACAAATAATTTCGTAGTATACAACAATCTGGATTTTACTTATGAACCTCAGGTAGATGAATATCATCCAAAACGATTGAAGTCAGTATTGATGTAACTTATTTTTACAACATACTAGATTGTTTAATCAATAAACTCGTTTATTCTAATTAACTTTTTTTTAAAACAACTAAATACAACCATATAGTTGGAATTCAATGGTGTTTGATAATAAGAAATCATAATGAAATTGTAAAATGTGACCATACAAATGAGCCAAATTGTTAGTTCATTAGTATAAAGCTAGTTTATATTATTATCAGAAGGGATTTTGTGTAGATTTTAGATATTTAATAGTTGAATTCATGAATCAATTAAAACTGGACCGCCATGGAAAACCCGGAAGCACTGGACGACCGTTTCATTCTAATATGGGACTCTTTAGTCTATATTATTCTTTTTTCTAAAAATTAGATTTATCAATTACAAGTTATTGTGTGTACACATTTCAATAGTGAAAATGAAAACAAATTCTGTTTAAAGAGAAATAAAACTTCATTTATTTTATTTTTAAAAAAAGACCAGTTCCTAATTTTCATTCACTCAACAAAATTACATAGTTCTTTTTAAACAAAATACTGTTTTTTTTTTACAAATAACTGAGATTAAGTAATGGTGGAGAGGTTTTGTTGCTCAGGTGGAAGATTTTGATGAAATTTTGTTTTCTGAGCTATAAGTAAACTTAATATATTCATACCACTAATATATTCTTATCTGAAGGGGTTTTGTGGAGATTGTAGTAATTTCAACAGTTGAGATCATGAGTCAATTGAAGCTAGACCACCATGGAAAACCTGGAAGCACTGGACGACCAGTGGAGTTCAACCTGGTCAGTTATGATATTAACTCACTGATGACAATGGTGGATGTGTAGCTCGATTTCGTGGATTACTTGAAGTTAGACATTAACACCCTTGGATGACTGCTCAGTGGTCTAGTTGGTTAAGCGCCTGGCGCGAGACTGGTAGGTCCTGGGTTCGAATCCCGCGAGGCGGGGTAGTGGATGCGCACTACTGAGTCCCACAATAGGACAAAACGGCCGTTCAGTGTTCCCAGGTTTACCATGGTGGTCTAGCTTCAACTGACACATGATCTCAACTGTTGATATTCCTATTTATATGGTTTATTTGATATTTTAATTATTCAAAGAAGTTGTACATGAAATTTCGTAATGTTTTCTTTTGGCCATAATATAAAATGGTAGATTGTTACAAGAAATAATCAATTTGAATGTATCATGTTTTAATAACTTTTTGTGATTTCAAAATAACTTGTGCAATGTGGTGTAGCTACATCCATCTGACGAGTCCAAAATAGGACTAAATGCGAGTCCTGGATTCCACTGCTAGCCACTATCCATCATTGCTTACGTATTTGTGACTTAAGGCGATATCAAGGCAATCCTCACGGGAGGCATATATGCAATAAGAGACTGATCAATTGCAGTACTGAACACCAATGGAAAGATTCAAACAAACAATACAAAATGAATTAGTTGTTAAGGTAATCAAACTTATAAACTATGAGTTTTTCAGTCTCACAAATAATATACGATTGCATTCGTCAAAGTCAGAGTCTGATATAACTAGCCATATATTCTGCTGTTTTGATTGATGAACACACATATATCATCAACATGGAACCTGGCATAGATGTGCCTTGGCCGTTATCGCTGAACCATATTAACAACAAAAGATACCAAAAAATATAGTGACAATCCTTTTAAAAAAAAGGAGTGAAAAGGTATGCATGAAGGAATGCTGGAATTCAAGACCGACAGAAAGATAATTGATTTAAAGTATCGGCACTATTGTGAACGATTATAACCTATGTCACCTTGGAGTATTGAACTTATAAAAATACAATAAATATACATACAAATCTAATTTTAAAAAACACTTTTTAAATAACATACAAAACAACTACTGTTGAACATTAGTGATTTGGATTCTTTTCGATGAACAAAACTTTCTTCTTACTATTACACTGTAAATCTTTTCTACACTCTAAATAACTTTAATTACTTATGGTGGTAAACAAAATGAATTTTACTATTGCATAAAAATACATAGTTACCATATTCCCTTTTCTCATCGGTTTTTTTAACACCATGCTATCAAAGTTAACATGTAGCGGGCATAAAATCACCTAGAAGAAGTCATTATTTTATAATAAAAAAAGCATTTCATCACCCAAATAAAGGGAAAATTCAGAAAAAAAGAAGAGAGTAAAAATAAAGCAGCATTTTTTAAAGAAAAAATGTTATAGACCTAAAAGAAATCTGCTAAACAGTAGTTAATTTCGTTTCGTTTAGATATTAAATTCATATGTTAGACTTCGCAGATGATCTGGCTCTTCTATCGCACACGCATCAACAAATGCAGAAGAAGATAACCAGTGTAGCAGCAGTAGGTCTCAATATACACAAAGGGAAAAGCAAGATTTTCCGATGCAACGCAGCATGCAACAATCCAGTCACAATTGACGGAGAAGATTTGGAAGATGTAAAAACCTTTACATATCTGAGCAGCATCTTTGATCAACATGGTGGATCTGATGCAGATGTGAAGGCGCGGATCGGCAAAGCAAGAGCAGCATATTTACAACTGAAGAACATCTGGAACTCAAAAAGATTGTCAACCAACATCAAGGTCAGAATTTTCAATACAAATCTCAAGACAGTTTCACCGTATGAGGCGGAAACCTGGAGAACTACGAAAGCCATCATCCAGAAGACACAAGTGTTTATTAATAGCTGTCTACGCAAAATACTTCGGATCCGTTGGCCGGTCACTATTAGTAGCAACTTATTATGGAGAGAACAAACCAGATCCCAGTGGAGGAAGAAATCAAGAAGAAGCGCTGGAAGTGGATAGGACACACATTGAGGAAAGCAACCAACTGCGTCACAAGGCAAGCTCTCACATGGAATCCTCAAGGCCAATGGAAAAGAGGAAAACCAAGGAACGCCGGAAAATGGAAATAGACATGAGAGAAATGAACAAGAATTGGATGGAACTAGAAAAGAAGGCCCAGGACAGAGTGGGTTGGAGAATTCTGGTCGGCGGCCTATGGTCCATTGGGAGTAACAGGCGTAAATAAGTAAGTAAGTAGGTAAGTAAAATTAAGTCATGTTACACAAAAAATAAATATCATAATAAGATAATACAAAAAATAATGTGTAAAATAGCCTTTCTATTTTCCTATTGAAAAATGCGACGAATTCAAATTGAACTTTTTTTAAAGTAAAAAATGATTGTACTATGATACTTATTATTTATTTCAGTTAATTTATCAGTTATCAGTATGTGGATTTGTGGAGATTGTAGTATTTTCACAGCTGAATTCATAAGTCAAACTAAGCTAAACCACCAGTGAAAACCTGGAAACATTAAACGACTGTGGCTAGTGGAGTTCAATCCGTGTAGAGTTTGAGAAAGTTATCCATCTTAGACAATGGATGAAGCGTTGTGCAAGAGCATGTATCAATTGAAATTATACATTAACATCGTTAGATTGTGATTCAATGGTTTAGAGGTTAAGCATTTGGGCGCGATACCGAAGGTTCCGGATTCGAGTCCCGCGTGTAGGTATGTATTATTATATTTAATATAACAATTGATAATTCATTAAGCTAATAGGTTATAAGGTATTAGTCAGTAATAACTAGTTCATAGAGTAAAAAGTGTTCTATCAGTTCAGTTAACAAGAAAAGCCAATAAAAAAATGAGTGATTTCTTATCATAATGCATGTTGTTTCTTTTACAATAATTGTAGTTGATTAACAAAAGTACTGGTTAATTCATTTTAAAATTTTATCTTTAAAAAAAACATTCGCTTAATATTGACTAAGTTTACTTACCTTCATCAATTGTACTGGTTCGTTTTAAACGACATGGATAATTTAATCCTTTTTCCGGTGGTAATTTAATAATTGAAGTTTTTGGTTTTCTTATTGAATTTATATTAGATACAGAATGATCTATTTCACTTGTAGCATTTAATTCAGTATTTTGTCGCGTTAATGCCTAAAATTAAAATATGAATTTTAGAAAGGAAATTCAAGAAATCAATCATTGAATTGATGATCATTTGAATGAAATGTATGTAAAACCAGTGATCATGAATACATTCCAATCATGTGTTATAATTTTGATACTGTTCAATAAAGTACTTAATAAACTACTTATAGGTCAATAATGCAAATTAATACAATATAATTGACTGTCAATTGTTCATAAGACAAAATTTCATATACTGACAATATCTAGACTGAATGATAGTCAATAAGGATGATACTGTTTCATTAGATTATCATCAAATTTTTAAAAAAAAACGTTACAAAGTCATGTGGATTAACATAAAGGACAGTATGAAATAAAATAATTTGTGACTTCCTCCTCTAATAAAATGAGAAATCAATGAAAAATTGATTATTGGGAAACGACTTGATTGGTAGGTGAGAGATTTCACAAACGTCTTTCTGTACTGGTAGGTTTAGAAATTATAGTTTCATCATTATTAATGATGCTATTTACCAGGAGGGGTTTTGTGGAGATTGTACATCGATAACAACTTGTTATTAAGACTAAACGTTTCATGTGCAAAACCAGGGGATTAGTAATAAATGAAAGGATTTTGTAGGGATTCGATTGAACGATGTATTATATAAATATTGTATACCATGGTTAACATAGATGAATCCATTCATAATTAATATACACCTATGGATCTTTGACAATAACAAACATTCGGTGAAAAAACTCCATTCAATAAACTTCATGTTACGCCAAATTTATTTCTGCATCAACTCAATGAGCCAAAAAATAATTTAGATAGAAGTGAAATCAACAGATAATCCAAGAAATTTTTATGTCAAGAGCATATCTAGCGGAGGTTATCGAAGTATAGCTACATTTTTAAAATGAAATATCAGTCATAGAATATACAACTCGTTTATTAAAGATCCATAATAGAAAAGATATACATGTTGCATTGGATTAGTTCAATAAGCTACTTTTTGTAACATCACACCAAACAAAAAACAAATCTAAACTGGAGTATTATGAATAGTAATATCAGTCATTCATAAACGACATAAAAACTGAAGTATATGGTTTAAGTCAAGTATATGGATAAGACTTTGTGAATATGACTTCAATCCAAACGTATTTCAAATAATCCAGCCTACTTTCAACAGTTAAATATGTGATTAACATTTTAAGAATGGTCAGTAATATACTGTTATTCTACCATACTACTATTCCAAATTTTATTAGGCTTACTTCAGTTTCATTTTCAACCAGTAGTGGATCTGTTGTAAAGGTCGCTGTTGTATTGGGATACATGTTTTCCACGTCCTCACTTTCATTGTATTCATGCTTATAATCAGTTGGACGTAATGGACGAAATAGAGCACCGGCTATAGCACAATGTAAATTAACACCAGATAACAATAGGATACAACCACGCCATGTATACATCTTAATTAGAGATGGAACTACTAAACTGTAGACTACACCACCAATCCCACTGCCAGCCATTATAATTCCAGTTACAGTGGCACGTTTTTTTACAAACCAGGAAGTGACTACTGTGGCCGCTGGAAGGTAAATGCATCCATATCCGATACCTAAAATTCAACCGGGAATATTCACATTTTAATGCATCAAATTATTTTCAGAAAAAAAGTACTGTTTTTATTCATCTCTTTTATTACAAAGCTCAAAATAATACTTGAACATTATTATTGTCCACTCACTAATCAATATAACCTACCTATTGAAATATAATGGTCACATTGATTGAATATATTAATTTTATACCGCATACTGAATAATGTTTGTGTTTTTGAAGATGGAATTCGCATTGACTTAGCCTATTATGAATGAACTTATCGTTTTATTAACACATTGATAAGATTTGACGATGGAAGAGAAGTATGGAAATTAATTAATTCATTGTTAATAATAAATGTTGTATATTGTTTAATATGTTGCTATGGTGGAGAAGATTTGTAGTTCAGTTGAATGATTTGGATGGAGTTTTGTTCTCTGAGCTCAGGATACAAAACCCCATTTAATAAGTTACGTTTTTTAGACGTCTACATAGTCTTAATCTTAAACTGTATTTTGACTGAATAATTGGTACATCTTTTACTGTTTATAAATTAATATCAAGTAAAAAATAAAAGTAATTCAGCGAAGATAATTTTCATTTTTCGGTAATCTTATTTACTCAAGTTGTCAAACTGTATTTACAATGAGTCTATGAAGAAATCAAATGAGATTAGATCATAAAGTGTTGAAAGATTTCATGTATCAAAAGAAAGCTGTGTAATGATCTAAAGGTTAAGGACAAATAGTAAAATAAAAATAATTTATGGATTAAAAATATAATAAATAATTGTAAGCAAGACAGATAAAGAGAATTAATGAAATACGTAGTGATAATTACACCTCCATAATAATTATGAAACGTTGTACCAGGGTAATAGTAATTGATTACTTGTTAAATATCGAAAGATAATATTAAAGGGTCAAAAAACAAACTATAAGTAGCATTAGAGCCATGAGAGGAAAGATTGGAACTTTTGAATTCGGATGTAGAGTCTACAGTTGCTAAAGTCTTTTCATTGAGAAACGTTTGATTTGATCTTCCTTTGATTCTACTAGTTTGAGCGCGTAGATTACTTTTATAGATTATTCTGATGAGTTAACATGTCCATAGTTGAGTTGTTCCTGTTTTTTATGTTCTCATTTCAATAAACACACTGCTATGATATGAATTTGTAAAGTACTCGTTATGTGAGGTTTATACTACATGCTCATTAAGCCAAATAAGCCTATAGTTGCACATTGATTTATACTAGGTCATAATTTTATTCTTAACACATCCAAGAGTGATTGGCCGACTGTAGAAGACAATACGAAGTTCCGCTAAGTAGGACTTCTTTCCTACGAAATTTAAAATTCGTCTTACTAAGATTTCCTACTTCAAATTCATATACTGACTATTCAAAGTGAATTTTCGATGTGGAACCGTCTGACCTTCTTTCAATAAGATTTCAAGAAAGTGAACTTAATTTACTTATGCTTCTAATGTTAATTTAATTGACTGATGAAAAATACTGAATGTATCCATGGTAACAGAGAGGTTCACATTTTTGTCACAAATAATGAACTCATCATTCATATATCACCTGTATAATTGTAAGTTATTGATTATTGGTTGAAATGCTGTGTTTTTCTGATCGGTCATGAAGTTATAATTCAGGAAGAGTCAGTCAGTCAGTAACAACGTAGAACTTCGTACATACGTACATCAGTTCGAGTTGCCAAACCACATTAGCACAGAGATGCAGTTGTCGATTCCAATCCCGCATAAGCAGTTAATCGAAAAGATTAGGGTTTGGAGATGTTATTTAAAGAGTATAATTCATTTAAACAAATTTGGAAACGATTTTGAGCCATGTCATTCAGGGTCTCTAACTATCGGTTGCTATCATCTCGCGGTCCCCAACCAGGTAGTCTACACCTACCAATATGACTCAGTCCACTTGTCAGTGGCTTCATGGACTTGTGCCATGTTTTGGTCTGGCCACCCCTAGCTTTCTTCCAACCTACTCCTATACCACTGAACATCGCACATCAGGAAGAGGCTAAGTATTAAATCCATCGTAGCTCCAATTCGACCATAAAAATCAACTTTAAATCTTGATTGTATGCTGATAGTACGTTGTAGAATTAGTTCGCGATAATGTTTTGAGATACAGATGTTGAGGTTATTTTTCTCAATATTGTCACATAAAAGACATGTTATCTCTGTGACAGAAAAATTTGTGAAGATGGAAGCAACAATGTCCACTCGTGTCACTTCCCTACTAGTTACGATCAAATAACTGTGAATTGGTTGCTCAGTGTTGGCTTTGGATATCACATATTACATTGTAAAATAGGGACTTCCTCACATTTATACAATTAATCACCTTGGCAACAACCCAATTTCGTATCAATAATGTCCTTGTTATGTACGTAATCAAGGTCATCGTTTATGGTTTTAGAGCTACATTATAAGTCTAAGTGATTGAAATACTTGTCTCGATTAACCTGTCATGCTAGTATCTTAGTTGGACGTTTAGCAACGTAGATAATCGTGTTATCTTTTGATGTCATCACGCATACAATTATGAAGCCAGTGAACCCTTTGTAAATGTTACAAGTGGACACGTATTATTTACGACTTAGAATTTTAATAATTGGAAGTATAGATTAGGTGAACATTGCCTTTATTTAGTTCATTATAATGTAATTTTTTTATTACAAAATTTGTCCTGTTGAATCGTTTTGGGTTATTCAATTCTGAAACTTATGAAAGAATAAAATTTTCCATATTCAAATGTACTACAAACGGGATATGCAAATCAACTATAACTCGTGAATAAAATAAAATAACACTCTAGAAAATAGTTTCCCAAACAAAACTGATCCATTTTAGACTTGAATTCCGTAGTGGTAGAGGTAGTAAGAGTATAAGCAGTAATCGGAAAGATTAGGGTTTGAAGATGTTATTCAAGGAGTATAATACAGTGAAATAAATTTTGGAAGGAAATAAGGGACATCAAGAATTCAGAAGGTTAGAATTTGAGAGAACACAAAGAGTGGATGCACTTGCGCCATTGCAGACGATTTTGAGCCATGTCATTCAGAGTCCTTAACCATCGGTTGCTATCGTAGTAGGTATTCCATACCTACTAACATGGCTCAGTCCACTTGTCAGTGACTTCATGGATTTGTGCCATGTTTTGGTCTGGCCACCCCTAGCTTTCTTCCATCCTACTCCTGCATCATAAAACATAGCACGTCTGGACAGTCGGTAGTTGGGCATACGTAACAAGTGTTCCAGCCATCTCAACTGATGAAGTAGTGAAACTTCATCAGTTGATTTGCCATCCTTACCTAGTACCCGTTTCTTAACAACTGAGTTACTTAATCGGTGGTCCCATGATATACGAACAGTGTTTCGAAGACACCTATGATCGAATACTAGTAACTTACGAATATCCTCTACTCTAACCGGCCATGATTCACTGCCATAAAGTAGGACGGGACGAACTGCTGTGAAGCAAACCGTCCTTTGATTGATAGAAGGGTATCTCGCCTACGCCATAAATGACGCAAGTTGGAAAAGCTCTTAGAAAACTCTCAGTAAATTTTATTAATATGTGCATGTGTTTGTGGTTAAAGTATATGAACTAAAATTTCTAAGCGCATGTGTGTAATGTTTATAAGTTACTTTTTAGAAAGAAAAAAAGAACAATTATGTATTGATTATTGTAACAAATTCTCATTTTTGTATTATACTTGGTCTAACTTCATACTACAATGCATGGAAAAAAAGCACACAAGGATATTTGAACTCAAAATTCATCCTTTCACAAATTAAGTATTACAATTTATATTTATTTTGAAGATTAAACATATTACTACACGATAGACTTTGTGATAAAAGCACCTGTCATTCAACTAACAGGTATAGTAGGCTTGGACCTTTTTTACTTAAATAGAATTCGTCATTGAAAGGCTTTTAGAGATAACACTTTCATCGTTCGAATTTTTAGGGATTGATCTTCTACCAGGAGATTCATTTGTTTACTTAGAACATGCAAATTATATTGTTCTGTTTGGTGAAGACATTAACAACATACAGAATCTTTTGACAATCAACAATGAAAGCATGTAAATCGTTACTTCAGGAGCGAGTTGTGTCTTCTCTTGGATTAGTGATAGAGGGTGAAGTAGTTGAACGCATCGACCACTTCACTTTCCTTGTAAGTCTCATCAGTCCTGATTCCCCGGTTTCTGACGAAATCTTGACACAGATAAAGAAGGCTTTTGCCAACGTGCATCACTTATGGCGTAAGCAAGATATCCGTCTTCCAGCCAAAGGGCAAGTTTACTGTTCAGTAGTTTGCTCCACTTTACTTTATGGATGTGAAATATGACCATTGAGAATGGAGCGTATTCGCAGATTACTGGTATTCGATTATCGGTGTCTATGAAACATTTTTCGCGTATTTTGAGACCACGGGGTAAGCAATGACTAGATTCGGGATGGAGTACTAGGTAAAGATGGGAAACCGATAGACGAGGTTGTAAATTTTCGTCAACTGAGATGGTAGACATATGTGTTACGTATGCCTAATCCCCACCTACATAGATGGGCGATGTTTTCTGGTGCAGGAGCGAGCTTGAAGAAAGCTGAAGGCGGCAGAACCAAAACATTGCATCAGTCCATTAAGTCACTGACAACTGAATTTAGCCATGTTACTAGGCATAAACTACCTGGTTGGGGTCCATGTGATTATCATAACCTATGGTTAGAGACTTTGGACGACATACTTCAAAACCATTTGCAGTGGTACAGGTGCATCCACATTTCGTCTTCCCCCGTATTGTGAGATTCTAAGTTCCTCACAATATTTTTTTTGTTTTTATTTCCTATTACCCCTGATACTGTTACTACCTATACTATTCTGAGATTTTGTCCGACAATTTTATCGCTGTGTGTTAATGGGGCATAGCAACTTGAAACGATATGAATACACATCAGGTTCAACGTTGTATCTGACTGAATAACTGAATGAGACTTTGGAAAACCAGACCTCATACAAACGATGTGGATGGAATGTGATTATATAAAGCAGTATTTGGTCAGTAAATTACATTAATTCTTGTATGTACATTATCAATCGGAACTAACTCAACAGAATATTATTTTCTTATTTATATGATTAGCTTGAATTAAATACAAGTTACAATTCAGGTGTCATTCTAAACAGAAAATATTTGATATGAAAATAAAGAGAATTCAGCGAAGGAAATTTTCTTTTCGACGAAATCATTCATATTCATAGTTATATGGAAAATATACGTCTATAGAAAGATAGTTTACGTAATAATCGGGAGGTTAGATAAGAATAGAAGGGTGAAAATAGTTTACAGGTCAAAATTATGAAAGATAATTGTCCGCTTGACAGAAGAAAAACAAAAACACAGAGGTCATAATAATAAAAACTGAATAATCAAGAAAATTTGTTTAAAGGTAATAATAATAACTGATTACAGTTTAAATTACAAAACATTGATTTAACAAATCAATAATACAAAAGGGAATTAGGGCCAAGGAAGGATGAGAGATTGGACGAATTGTTCTTGCACGCATAGTTCAGGTTAAGTTGGTGGATCGCTAGTGCCTCAGCAGCGTATAAGATTTTCACCTGACTTTCCTTCAACCCAATTCCTTTTATTGTGTAGATTACTTTAAAAGAAGACTCCTCTGAAGCCATGTATCCATAATTAATTAAATGCTCCTGTATTGAACTAGTAATTGTTTTGCAATCTCCTTTTAAATACCATGCCAGATAGTGTTCTGAGATGCGTTTGGAAAGTGATCGCTTTGTGCGGCCAATATAACTTGCTCTACATGAGTAAGTCAATTTGTAGATGCACATTGATATGGCCCAAAGAGGAAGTTTATCCATGAATGAAAGGTCAGCTTGACAAAACAATTCGGAGCTTAGCTGAATAGAATGTTTTATTCAACGATTTTGAAATCCGATTATTCAAGAGTTCATAAAAAAAGTTTTCTATTCTAATAATTCATTTAGACTAAAAGGTCTTCCATAATTACTTGCAAGGTTCCTTCCTTTCAAAATAGTGCCTAATAAACTTGTTTATTATAATATTTCAACAGGATGAACTATACAAAATAGTTTTGAGTGACATTAAAGTCACAAAAAAAAGTTTGTATACGTTGACCTATTTTAAATCAAACCAAAATTGAATTGAATTTGATCACAGACTTCAAAATTTTATTTCAATATTTAATATGATTGAAAAGGTAGAAATATCTATAACGAACTATAATATCCCGAGAAAATTTAATAGAATAAATATCCATAATCTCATAAAAAGAATGTCCAATAAAACAAACATTATTATATAAAAACAATACCAAAAAAAAATTTATTGATTAGATCATTATAACTTACCACCACAGATACCAAATATAACAATAAATAAATCCAAATTGTAAATAAATGTACTAGCTAGAATTGATATTGTTGAAATTAAAGTACCAACAATGACAACTTCTCTTGAACCAAATTTGTTTAAAAGACCACTTACAAGAGGACCTATTACATATAAAAGAAAATAAGTAATTCTTTGGTTAACAGATCAGTTGTGTTTTTTTAAAAAGATACACAATAAACGCCTTGTATTGAATTAGGTTAAACTAAATATATTCAGATAGTAAATATAAATATATATATATATATATATATATATTAATAAATACTCATTGCTTCTATTGTAATTTCTCATTTGATGTATTGTTCTTAGAATTTGAAGTTTGATGGATAATAATTCAAATATCAGCATAAAAGTCACTTTTAATTTAGTGTCATGTTGAAATTACATTGACCGATTTTAAAGTACTCTTTTTTTACAAAGTACGAAGTGTTCAATTTTTGTCAGAAAATACCCTTTAGTAGATAAAATCAGAGGATATTTGTTCCTTTCAGGATCTTGTATAGGTGTATCGTGAATGAATTTGAATTAGTTACTGGCTCTCATATGAATGTCGCTTTAACTTTGTCTCATTTTGAGTTGAAACCTTCATGTACCTTCGATTTATATAGTCATTCACAATGCAACTATTTATTTGTTTCATACAGTTGGTTTGTTTTTATCAATTCAAATAAAGTCATGATAAAAACTCAGACAAAATTATACATGTGTACATAAATGAATAAGCATTTTTAAATTCATTCAAAGATATAATTCAAAAACATAGAACGGATGGAAGAGTGATTATCTAGAGTCCAGATATGCATCAGTTGAATTATGAAATGAATCTAGAGGATTTGAATTGCTTACGTAAGTTTGATAGCATTTATTCATCTGTTTCTATGGTACTAAGCAAATATGTCGTCCATCGAGAGCACCTGCCAGCATAACTAAACAAAATCTTAATCGAAAGTGTTAAATTGCCCACTCTGCTGCTGCTGAACATAAATATAAACATAAGACTCGAAATTTCGGATTGTTTGTAAGATCCACCGGAACGTAGGACAGAACACAGACGCGCCTTCGTATTTCAGGATCTTTGGCAATACAGATTTATTAGTACACAAACAGGCTGTAAGATTAACTTCTTTGTTGTGATCCTAGTTTCCTCTGTATTTCTGTTCTGATGCTTTAGCGCTACTTTAAAATTTTATTTGCTATCACATGTCCTACTGCTAATTTTTATAATTAATTTTATTCCACTGACGTTAGCTCAAATTATTCATCATCATATTATTATATGATCGCCATCCTTGTATCCTTATAATCACACAAGACTGTTTATGTGCGATTTAATTAAGCCATTGAATTAACCTGTTTGACAGATAGGGTGTATTGTTTTTGTATGCAATAATTCGTCTACATTTTTGTACATATCTTTAAGCTTTCATAAATTAGCATGTATCATTGAACACATTTACCAGCTTATTCATTTGCTTCTCTAATCCGCTTAAAAATTAATTCACGATAGCTCATTCACATTTATACATGTATTTACTCAAATTATATTCATTTATTTGCCTTCCTCGTTACGTACTTGATGATTTGAAAAAGGTGTTCACCCTACTCCATTCTCTTTAGAAACTATGCCAATAACGGTTGTCCGAGTGACTAATATACAAACCATAGAATAGTCACAAGAATATGTTTAACACCTTTAATGAATTTCTATTCTCATTTAGAATGATCTTTGTTAATCTAATCGTAAAATCATGTCAAAACCGCGACACTATAATTTATGGACAAACCAACCAGGTATAAGTTAATAGGTCTCGGATTTTGGCGCGAAATTCAATCATCCATTTGACTAAATAGCGTCTCGGCATTATAGCTAATATCAGTTCGTGATGAGAACACTCAGCCTAATTCCTAACCTTGAACATCAACTGTAAATCATAATTCTAATTCCTTACACGGGTTTATAACCCTCATTTGGTCCTAGTTATTAGGTGGACACACCCAAGGTCAGCCTGGCGTATCTCAAAGGTCTTCCATAAATTTTAGTCTCACCGTCAAAACCTCTCATCTCGTAGTAATAACTTCGTTGCTTACTTTCTCATATGTCCTATAATTTCTAGTTTATGCAATAGTTAATTTATCTATTCATAATCTATTTTAATCAGTTATTACGAACTGCAAGCCATACTTCCTACTTGTTATATGTATGCATACTAACATAAGTAACTTACTCATCTCATTCGTTATTTTATATGATAAAAAGAATTGAATATTTTTTCTTAAAATATAACTGTTTTTAAAAGGGAAATTTCTCACACCAAAAGTATCCTATTCAATGAGAGAAGAATTTTTCAAACTGATTGCTATTTAAAGAGGAAGAATGTATTTGTAAATCTCAGCGAAAGAATTTGAAGTGAATCCAACGTTTCGCCTGGCAATCCGATCCAAGCTTTTCAAGGAAATATTTTCTTGATATCTCACATTATTTATTTATTTATTTGAACACATGAATATAAGTACAAGAGAGCGCCAATATATATGCGCCACACAAAACAATGAGAATTCGAAGAGAAATAGAAAAAAAGCTAAGGAGCGCAAAAAAAGAGAACAATAACGAAGAGAATGTCCGGCGCTTTAACCGGATCCCAAACCAATGGTGCACATGGGCTCCAGTATCCTGCAGGAACAAATGGCGTATGAACTAATCGTTGGTCACCGGCTACCATGGGATTGCATCTCCTTACGATGCTCCACTGCCTTGTGGGTTAGACCTTTAGGTCAAAGGCTCAGGGAGTGGCCCCCTAAGATAACCACTTGCTTCGGTTTGGGCACCCAGGCAGTATCACAGCCCACACACAAATGATGAACTCTCTATGTCTATCTCACATTAACTCGGCGCTCAAACACTGTGATTGCTATTTATTAGTGCTTTACGGAAAATATACTAACTTGTTAAAAGACAATGTTAACTGTTTATTTCTAACACTTTTTATTGTAACATTAAACAACTGCATTATAGAATGAGATATATGTCCTGTAGATTGTTTAATTGTCGTTAGATTAATCAACAAAATTAGTTATTATTAATTTCTTTATTGATTTATTCTTGGGTTACGTTGTTTAATTATTAAAATCTTGTTATACTTTCATATTTTTCAATAAGTGCGAATCTGTCGGTGTGATTGTTTTCTTTTTAAATGGTTTGTTAACTTCAAGTTTGCTAACATTTCATTCGACTTCATATGGCTATTACGTTGGTTTGACCTCTGACCTCTAACAACTTGACAAACTGATTGACCTGGTCTTCTTCGAGAGATTGGGTTAATATAAATATATCTTTGGATTGCGGATTAAACCAAATATCAGAGATTTTCCAACTTGGATTCATGTCCACAATTATTGAATTAAGTTGTAACATGTTTAAATTATAACTTATATTCAATAATATGTAGGTATATATTATAATGTTATCAAGGGTAGCGCCCGTTGCGATTAGTGCAGATTTTCTAGTGCCCACTGTTGGACTTCTTTTCTTGTACTGTTAAATTCTTTAATTGACATGAAATACTCAAGATAATATCCAGTTTTGAGAGAATTCATGCAAAATTTTCAATTAATTAGTGAATTAACTTATTAAACACAACTTACCAACCATGAAGTAAAATCCAGTTAATAATGATCCCCCCAATGTCATTTGCATTTTTGATGCACCAAATGTTTCTTCTAATTCACTAAGAAATAGTCCATAGGAAAAACACATTCCATCCACAAGTACCATGCATAAAAAGCTACCAAATACAATGAACCAACCCCATCCTCCATCTGGTGGTAATGGGGGTGATAGTTTTTCTAAATCAATCTCAACTTCTACGTCATCACCATCATTATTGTTGAAAGTACGTATCGGATCAACATCGTACACGGTGGATGTTGATTTATAAGTTTCGGGAAGAGATGATGGAATGCGTAAATAGGAAACAGGTTCTTGTGGTAGCATATCATCTGGCTGAAAGAGGCACGATATAATCATGTAAAATTAAAGAACACTGATAGTTAAGAATATTAACAAAAACACTTTTGGACCACATACAGTCAAGTTATTGTATTAATTTCTTAAAAGAGGTAATAATACTACTGGACTGTTCATGTATAGCATATGCAATAATATTCTGAATATGCATTGATAAAAACCTTCACAACAAAAAATTATATACATACATCCCCAAAATGTATACGTAAAATAAACACGAAATTCAGCGATATTTTCTTCGCTGAATTCTCTTTATTTTTATTCAATGACCCAATGAGCTAATTTAAACACAATACTATTACATGTTCTAGTATATTTCAATGGACCCAAACTACATTGTATTAAAGATAATGCCTTTACTATTATCAATATCTGAAAACCAACAATCCGGAAAGGTTTGTCTAATAAAATTAATTCTAATTTAGAAAATCTCTAAATAATCAATATGAATTATGATTTTTTTTTCTTTCTTTCTGTCAGTCAATAAGTTAGCAACAACATAAGACTAGGCACATATATTCATCAGTCCAAGTTGCTACGCTTCATTAGCAAAACAAGATGAAATGTAATGATTATTTTTTTTATGTAAAAATTAATCATACTCATAAAGAAATACAATAATCTTTAATGTTGATAACTTTAGTTGATAACTTTTATATTAAAAGTTAAAAGGTTTTTCAACTTGTATACATCATATGAAATTGTGCAGTTAGAAAGAAAAGCAAAAATAAAGGCTGTTGAAAACTATCTATTATAGACAATAAATCCAAATCAGTCAAAACAATAAACAATAATTGATAGTTGAACCATGTGATTTGAATTATCTAGATTATAATAGATGATTTTTATCTATCTATTTCAAAAAGAGCCAACTGTTAAATACAACATGTATTGCATTGTGGAAATGGTCAAACGCGTTGACAAATTCACTTATGTTGGAAGTCTGATCAGCCATAATGAGTTGATGTCTGACAAAATCTCATCACGGATTCGAAAAGCTCGTTTGGCTTTTGCAAACTTACGTCACCTATGACGAAGACGAGATATCCGTCTATCGATAAAAGGACGAGTATACTGCGCGGCAGTTCGCTCTGTTTTAATTTACGGCAGCGAAATATGGCTATTGAGAGTCGAAGATACTCGTAAGCTACTAGTATTTGACCACAGATACCTTAAAAATATTGCTGGCGTCGGCTGGGACCATCGGGTAAGTAATAGTGAGGTTAGACGCAGGGTATTAGGGAATGATGGTAAATCAGTTGATGAGGTTATGAATCTTCATCGACTGAGATGGTTGGGCCATGTGTTACGTATGCCTGAACACTGATTACCACGACGTGCTCTACTAACCGGCGTTGGAGATGGTTGGAAGAGTGTTAGGGGCGACCAAACCAAAACCTGGCATCAGTGCTTGAAGTCACTAACTTGTGGTCTGTGCCATGTTGGTAGATGCAGACTACTTGGTTGGGGTCCGCGTGACTATCGTAACCAATGGTTGGAGACTGTTGGTGACATAGCTCAGAATCGATCACAATGGCGTCGGTGTATACACTCTCTGTCTTCTATTAAACTAAGAGATTAAAATCACTTCATATCTTTCTTTCTACGAACTAAATCTTTCTTCCTGTACTATATCCTTATTGCAATCTTTCTTTTATAAATTACTACCTCTGCATTAACTACTTTTATGAATCCGGTGTTCATCTTGTTGTGTCAATGAGGTATGGTAACTTGGATCGATGCATATATGTGCCTGGTCCTACGTTGTAGCTGAGTGACTGGCTGACAGAATGGTCCTCCCCCCCCAAAAAAAGAAAAAAAATTTAACAAAATATCTGTAGTATATATATATATATATATTAAATTGTGTAGTGTTTTACTAGTCGTATCGATAAATGATGAAAGCGTACTTTCTTAAGTATAAAGTCTATAACACTTTGAATGTCTTATTAAAGCATGAATCTAATGTATGTCCTTAAATGTTGTCCGTGTTTTACAATGTTTTTAAAAGATTTAGTAGACTAATAAATTATGAGAAGTGATCAAATCAATATATGACAATTCATTCATTTAGTGAATGTCTCCAGTTTAACAAATTTCTATGCTTGTTTTGTTTAGTAGATTACAAACTTTAGGTTAAACTAAATGATTCGTGATACCTAGTTCAATTTGAAAATAGTTTGCAAAAGGAAGTGATATTATTGGAAACTGTATTGAAAAATAATATATTCTGAATACCGATTCATCATAGTGACATGACTTTTAATTATCTCGTGCTTATTGTTCAAGGTTCAATTCTGATCAGTCTTTATTAGTATATGTGCATTCTGGGCTAATTGGCTCGATATAACCACTTTTCAAAAGTTATTTATCTACTCTAAAAAAGTTATTTTGTTATAGTTCGCAATTCTCTTCTAATGTGTATGCTAATGATCACAAAGGGTATTTAACTCAGGATATTCTCATCTTATGCTACGCACTCCATAGTTTAAACACTACATTCCCACATACTTATTATCGATTTCTGATTTAATTAATTAGTGAAATATCATGGCCACTGTATAGTGACTGTGTTTCAACATTATCTTAGATCCAATTAGGGTTATTTTGAAATAAACAAGATAAGCCTCATAAGAAAGTTTATTTTTGATGTATCCACAAAATTTACTTTTTCAAAATTTTAGTAGGGATTTACTACCAAACTTTAACATTCTATTGGTTTGTTAAAATAAGCATTATTAATAAATTACATTGTTCCGCATGAGATTTTCATACTGATTCAACTCAAACCGATGCACACTTGCTCCAGGCGCAACATTGTATATGACTTAAAGTTTTCGCTAACACATTTTAGTGCTTCACATTTCGAAAAAAACAGGACTCATGGAGGAAAGTAATCTAGGTTGTCAATAATAACTTGCTGATCACAGGTCGGGTAATATATACCTAGTTAGTCACATAAAACAATAAAGGAACAGCTGTAAATTTAATGAAAAGAAGGGTAAATTGTTAGCAAACATTGATATACTTGCTATTCGAGTCAATCGATAATCTTCATTAAGGAAGACCGTTTGTTTCAATGTAAATACAGAATTCTAAAGTAGTTCAAACACTTTGATCTAAACGAGGTATACAGTGAAATGACGATTCAAGATGTTTAAAAATCGATTTCACATAATTCTGCCATATAGAAACTAGTCAAGAAGTTATCATTTGAAAGCCTCAAGTCATTTATTTGATCATATTTATTATGCCTTCACTTGATATTTCGGATGAAATTTAAATATATTGCTGGCGACATAACACCAGTTAAGCACTTTTAGTTAATTTAACCAATTCTTATGCTAATAGACAGTTTTCGATGGAGTTTTGTTCTTTGAGCTGCATGGTTTGATTTTGGAGCTTTCATTCTTCTTCTGAACGACATCATCAGCAGAAGCTTCAGGTAAAAGTGAACTGTTCGAATTTCTTCATATGTGATTCACAGCTTGTCCAGTACACCTCGATGTTGATATTTAAGGTCAACAAGAACTAATCAACATCAAAGTGTACAGAACAAACTGTGAACTACGTATGGAGAAATTCGAACAGTTCACTTTTACTTGAAGTTTCTGCTGATGATGTTGTTCAAAAGAACGACGAAAGTTCCACAAACAAACCATGCATCTCAAAAACACATAATTCCATCAAAATAATCCACCTGTACTACAAATCTTCTCCACCATCTTAATAGACAGTTTTGAATAAGATATGTATTTGAAAACCTTAAACTAATTGAATTATAATCGTCTAATAAAAGTCATTTATCATTATTTAATATAGAATTTTCAAAACAATCTTAATATCTTTGAAGAAAGATGAAACTTACGTATTCTTTTATTGTTTCCATCTTTTTTTTCACAAAAATAAACAAACAAACTAAATGAAATAAATTTGATCAAATTGTTGTCAAGTAACTGTATTATTTAAAGATAATCAATAAAATACTGTTTAATTAATCCATTAATTTATCTTCTTTTTATTCTCCATTGGAAGTTATTAATAATGGGTTATAGAAATGTTATGTAATTCTATTTTTATTAGAATAATGAGTAATAATAGTCAATCCATATAATATTTAATGCATAACGAAATACTTATTTTTTTTGTATTTTAAAGAAAAAAGTGTAATTCAGTCTTTTATATAAAAATTCAATGGACTTTATTTCATTAACCAATCATTTTATAGTTTTAGAAAAATTGATCAACAATCTAATTGGTTAATCAACTAGTTCAATAACCAATGTTTATCAAATGGATAGTGGATGTAATCCCTATATATATAAATAGAATAACTTTCCTTTCCTATTTTTTCTTTGTTGCTGTTAAAATGAGGATAAAAAAGTTGTAAATTATGATTACGTTGATAAGCAAAGATGGATAGTGGTTAGCAGTGGAATCCAAGACGTGCATTTCGTCCTATTTAGGATGCGTTAACTGGATGTACTTGAATCTCAGAATTGATGTTCATTCAATGGGAAGATTCAAGCAAGCAATACCTAATCGGCGAGACTATAATTTATGGACGAACCAATCAGATTTACGATAACAGATCTTAGATTTTCGGTTGAAATTCATTCACCCATTTGGCTAAATAGAGTTTTGGCATTATAGCTGATGTCAGTTCGTGATGAAAACTCTAAATCTAATTCCTAATCTTAACCATCAACTGTAAATCATAATCCTTATTCTTCAAACTGCTTCATAACCCTCATTTAGCTCTAGTAAGTAGGTGGACACTCTCAAAGGTCGTTCATAAATTATAGTCTCACCTACCTCGTCCATTGTAATATTTGATTTATTTACTAGTTAGATAGAAAGCTTTATTTACTTAAATATAATGACTGAAAAAATTTAATGGGAATGGAAAGGTTTGTAATGAAAACTTATCGATTGGTCTTTGTTTGTTTATTTTTTGTTGTTTTTATTAATCCACAAAAGTCTTTTTTGTTTTTGTGAAATGAACATTTGAAATAATAAAAATCTATCTAATACAACAATCATTTATGACAGTAACATTGAACTGCAAATAACCATTAAAGTTGACATTATTGATTAATAGTACTAATATGATTATAGGGAATATTTTCGTATGGTATTCATGTAATATGAATTACATAAAGTGAAATGATTGACTAAATGTTTACATGTGAAAGCGAACTTGCAAATGTACTTTTTTAATATTTTGAACAATAAAATGTATACTTAAGATGAGGAGATTATAATTTTAAATTCACTTGGTATTGCCTGTTCGATTCTTCCCATTGATGTTTAGGACCGCAATTGATCAGTCTCTTATTGATATATGTGCATCCTGTGTGGATTGCCTCGATATTGCCTTCATTCACAAGCATTTTAAGCAAAGGTGTTTGGTGAATACTAGTGGAATTCAGGACACGCGTTTTGTCTTATTTGGGACTCGTCATCTGGATATATCTGCATCCCAGAGTTGATGCTCAAGTCAGGATTAGAGCCCAGCACCGTTCACTTTAAACTCCATTGAGTTATCCACTTAGCGAACGGTATTGAGTTGAAGTCCCGTAACAAACATCGACTCTGGAATAAAGTTCAATCCAGCTGCCGAGTCCCAAATAGGACAAAACGCATGTCACCAACAATCTTTGTCTAGATTATGATTTTATCTTGAGCTTAACTGATAAAATAGAAAGTCAAGGAAAATGGTCATAACTTTCACACTAGACACCAGCAATAACTTTATGATTTGATGTCATACTATAAGAAGAGAACTTTTGCATTCAGACGTATTCAGTAGTGAATGTCTAGATTTTACGAATCATAATAAGTAGCACACGTGAGACCTCATCAGTAACAAATTTATCATTAAAAATATAGAGAGACTTAAATGAAATTCTACTTTGGAACAACTATGATGATTTGTCTAATATTAAACATCTTGCATTGAGATGATTGTTAAAATATCCCTTCTCGTGTGTAGATATTGATCCATGCAAAATATTTCATACATTGAAGGGAGAATCATTAGTCATTGGACAACTTTTTTAAAACTCTTCGCCAGTGCATATCAACGCTCTTATTAGAAATCAAAGTAATGATATTAAGGTCTAAAAACGAGCATAATACTTTAAGACCACTGAATAGAAATTCAATGTTTAAGCTGTCTTAATTAAATACTAATACATTACGTTGAAGATAGTCGATGGTAGTAAAAGATATTTCCCTGGTTGCATTTGTCGCTGCAGATACTCTGCAAACCTCGTAACAAATATAATAAAAACATTCAATCAAAGAAGTTGAAACTACTGAGTCCATTATCCTGTTTGATCAATAGGAATTCCAAATAAACCACATATTGATTTGAAGGTTGTTTATAGTAGCCGCTCAGATCTACCAAGGGGTTTTCATATTTAACTCCTTCAAACAGCAAAGCTTTTAGCTATCCTTGATCTATATATCCAAAAGAAGTATGTCTTTGCCGCGGTTTTACTATTATTGACGTTCTTAATTCATTAATTTCGTATTTGAAAATATCCTTCTCTCTTTAATAACTTTTCATAATTTACTTTTAATTGTTTTTAATATCATTTTATTTAATTGCACTGATACGTCTAATAATTACGACTGAAACATTCTGTTTATTTTATCTAGTTCACAATATAATTCATAATTAACTTATCTGCTCTCTTAGTACAGATCCTGGGAGAGGGAATTACACAATCTTGCACTGTTTTTACTTTACATAATGTAGTTTGAATATCTTTCTGTTATATCATCATATTTACCTGTCATTCATTTTTCTTCATTGAATTAAACCTTCAATTTTACACATAAATGAGACAGTACAGTTAGTTGAAAAGATAATTTTCTCACTGAATTTATTGTTTTCATTGTCTTATTGGGAATTGTTACTTTTGATAATATCATTATGATTAGATACGATGTCATTTATTATGGACAGTTGTTGGTTAAAAAGGATACGGTAACGACTAATCACTTAAAAACAAAACAAAAAACATTATGGGTTAAATTTCTCATTTTAAACTAAATTATAACAAGTATTATTGTCCACTTTTATACACATCAAAATAAGCCAGAACCTTTTGGTTGAGACCTACTAGATTTACTAAAAAGGTTAATGCTTTTCATAGAAAGAGAAATATATAGTACGTACTGAATGAAGGGATGAATTCATCAACGCTTAAGATCAAATTTAATTACTTTATCGTAATAATTTTATTTTCTCTGTTCATTAGGTGAAACCAAAATCATGATTCATGATATCGTTAAATCGAGACTATTCAACTATTTTTATCTTACCTTTTTTAGGGTAATATACATTATTCAGAAAATCAGGATGAATTGTGTTTGATTTAAGTATGTACCTACAAATCGGAAGCATCTTAGTTATTACGTAAACATGAACTATCTGTGGAAGTTTTCTTCAAACCATGATTAATAACAAGTTATTACGCATATCATTGCTACTGTTATCATACAAACGTGCTCGTGGATGCATGAACTTATGCACTGTAAATGCTTTTTTGACCTGACAGTTAAAAAGCATAAAAAAATATATTGTGAAAAGATGTTATTTTGCAATGATAATAGTACTGTAATTCAAGAATAAGTGATTGATTATTTTGTACCTATTTATTTTAATGTCTTCTGATTGTTCCTTATTGATAAGTCTTGCGGACTGAACGCTATATTCGTCTCCTAAGTCATTCTGTAACCCCCAAGCTAGAACTATACAGAGACCTGAACACGAGAGAGAACACTCAAAGTATGAGAGCAGTTGTTTGCTCTAAGGTTCATTTTAATACAGAAACTACAGCGTTTTTACAACATTTTAAATGTCCTTGGGTTGCTAGAAGTTTCTGGAATGCTACTAAACATAGTAGCAGTGTAGCAGCTAACCAATCAGAGCCTCTGCATGTGACGTTTCGTTTCCTTGATATTTTTTGCAAAAAACTTCAAGTGAACGCTGATTGGATGAAACACTTCTTAGGGTTTCCTGATGTTTGCTTGTCTTTTGCAAGCAATTTTCTGTATCACCCCAACACTTATATATTATCGATTCCGGAAACATTACCTCAAAGTGCGTAACTTGAGCTGAAAAAAAAGATTCATTTATATTTCAAATTTTAGACTCTCTCATAGCTTCTTCATTTTTAAGAAAAAATTAGACTCACATGAGTTTGTTAACTGGTCAGATTTTGTACTCGAATATACTACACTTTTTATTCATTCAGTTACTAGTTTTTGTCATTGAAATATTTCATTTATACATTAATTAGTCTTACTTTGAGAGACTAAATTTCACTGTATATTACTTTACTATCTAATAACCAAAAAAGACTTAAGTTAATGTTTTGTCGAAGATACATTTTTCTTCGAATGAATCTACATATTACTGTGAAATGAGAAATAGTCTTTGTTCTTGATACAATTCAGGAGGACACATACAATGATTGACAACTGAACAGTAACCAGGGCCATTCTTGTTTATTTCTTAATGCTGATGCCTAGATAAATATACCACTGGTCACTAACCATCGATCAATAATCGTGAAAAACTCATTCTTAGCGAAGGTCATTTACGATCAGCATAATTCAGAGATAACGCACTTGACTGTGATATTGTGCTACGTTAGATCCAATCCCACGAGGTTCATTAATGATATCATGATTACGAATATACTATTACTGACGCATTCTTACTAACTAGAAAAGTAAGTCCAAAGCTTTCTTTAAACTGAATTCGAATAGCTAATTACTGTTTTAAACTAAACATCTTAATTTAAACCTACATTGATAAAGTATGTGGATTAGATTATCATTTTCCAAGATGATAGCTTCTAAGTTAATAAG